AAGGAGTTGAGTGCAGGGCGTGTAAGGACTGGAAGTCGGTTTCCTCCTTTCCTGCCTTTCCCCACCATCTCTTTGGTGGCTCCACCGGGAAGGAAACCAAGAACCTGTTTCAAGAATGGCAGTGCATTGGATGGTGGCTTGTTAATTGTGGCTTCTGGCATGATTTTTGTGTGTGTGTGCGACTGGAGACATAATTTGGATTGTGCAAAGGACTGTAGGCAGCAACAGAAATGATTTGATATAAATAATTAGGAAATAGAATCCCGAAACTTATTTTAAATGTATTTATCCCATATTTTGATTCCTTGATAGAAGTTGAGGCAGAGGATTGCTAGCAAACTTTCCCAAAACATAAACAAGTATATCTAACAAGATCCCCCTCACCCCCCCCCGCCCAAAAAAAAGCTTTGCAGAAATTGGTGGGTTCATAAGAATTTATTTTGTTGCTTTATTTATTTATTTATTTATTGAGGAGGAGGAGGATGCACAGTATTCTAATTTGAACACCCTTGTGTTTTCCATTTCAGTTCTGTAGCCGTAAATCTTTCCTGGTTCCTGTGGAGATCTAAGTATTTTGTGAGGGAAGAGGGCTGAATGGCGTTAGGAGGTTTGGCCAGACCTCTTGTGATTAGTCAGACCTGGGGAGATGCATGGGTCCATTTTGGTGCTGGATTAGAGACCAGAGAGAAGATGGAGGGACAACAGCCAGCAGATGCAGGAGCTGGAAAAGGCCCTCCAGCTGCTCAGCCTTGGAGCTATGGAAAGAATGGGGCAAGTCCTGGGCAGAAGGGCCAAGAGGAAGAAGCCAGCAGTTCAGAGGTCCAAAGTTGTGACTTTAGCAAAGTGCAGTTCCAGGGGGGGAAGAGTCCCCGAGATGTTTGCACTCAGCTTCACCACCTTTGCTGTCAATGGCTGCAGCCAGAAAGACACACCAAGGCTCAGATGCTGGACTTGGTGCTCCTGGAGCAGTTCCTGGCTGTCCTTCCCCCAGAGATGGAGAAATGGGTGAGGGAGTGTGGAGCGGAGACCAGTTCCCAGGCGGTGGCCCTGGCCGAAGGCTTCCTCCTGACCCAGGAGTCTGAGAAGATGCAAGAAGAGTTGCAGGTATGAGAATGTAATCATGGCAGTTCTAAAGAGAATCTTTCTGAATTTGTCAATGTCTCTCTGGCAGAATCTTCTGGGATTATGAGCTGCTAAGATCTCTTCTATGCTTGATAATTCATTTCTATCTCTCTACTCTTCCTTCCTTTCTCGTGCCACATCTTGTCCACAAGTCTTTGCAAGCTATCACCGAGTATCCCCAGGGGTGGAAAGATTCATCGAAATCCTCTCAAGAGCTGCTATTCAGGGAGATCTCCCAGGAAGGTCAAAGTCAGGACATTGCACCAGGTAACAGCAGCTCTTTCCATGGGATATGAAGATATCCATCCATCTGATAGTTTTGTTTTGTTCATCTTGAGTGGAATCCCCCCCCACTCTTTTTTAACAGTCTGCTTCTACCATTTTCTGTCTTACAGAGAATAGAAAGCTGTCCTTAGTATTTTTAGAACGACCTTCTCTTTGTGATAGAGCTGAAAGAGTGGCTGAACCTCTGCCTCAGGTAAGAGGAGAAATATTGGAAAGGTCTACGAAACTTGGAATGGTTTCATTTTATTCTGTATAATTATCAATGTACGTATAATATTGCTGTTTCCAAGCAAGACAGATTTTAGACAAGATCATTGAAAATTCACACTTGGCATAACCTATCAGTCTCTTCTGATAAGCTTTCTCCACCCGCCTGGTCCAGGCTCAAATTTCATTGACCAGATGTTGTCTTGACTGGAGATCTTCCTCTTGTCTCCCAGGGTCGTTCTCACTACCATTACAAGCTCTGTCAACACTTCAAACATAGATGGATATCCCCTGTATTTCCTTCTGCCCACTCTGCACCCAAGAATTGGTGCCAATATAAGTAGCGGATTTAATACCCGCTACTATCAACCAACAGAATTATTTTAATTGGTTTCACTGAAAGGCATCACAATCCTCCCAGTGTGAGGAAATGTGGTTCAGTTGGGCCATCAGCCATGGTGTGATCCCCTTCTGAATTCTGCAGAGGATGCCCATTTTGTTCATAGGATTTCTCTGCTTGGAATTGGTGAAAGAAAACTCTCACATTATTCTTGGGATTTTCTGATAATAGGGAAACTTGTTTCCTTGTTCAGGGTGGTGTGTCTTTTGAGGAAGTGGCCGTGCATTTCTCCGAGGAGGAGTGGTCTCAACTGGATCCTGCCCAAAAAGCTCTCCATGGGGAAGTCATGCTGGAGAATTCCAGAAATCTGGCCTCTCTGGGTAAGAACCTCTGTGCTCAGAAATGTAGAGAAGGCATGGGTGGGTGGAGGGTTTAGATACTCCTGATAAAAAAGATCACTTTTTATTTATATCCTGCCTTTATTATTTTTTGCAAATAACTCAAGGCAGTGGACACAACCAGTACGCCTTCCTCTTCCCATTTCCCCCCAACAACAGCACTATGATATGGGTTGGGCTGAGAGAGACTGGCCCAAAATCACCCAGTCAGTATTCATGCTTAAGGCAGAAGTAGTACAGGTAGTCTTCGAGTTATGAGCACAATTGAGCCCAAAATGAATGTTGCTAAGCGAGACATTTGTTAAGAGATTTTTGTCCCGTTTTACCACTGTTCTTTCTTTCCACTATTCATAAGTGAATCACTGCAATTATTTTAGTAACACGATTGTTAAGTGAATCTGGCTTCTCCATTGACATTGCTTGTCAGAAGGTCATAAAAAGGGATCACACTGCAACCGTCATGAATATGAATCAGTTGTCAAGCATCTGAATATAAATCACATGACCGCAGGGATGCCCCAATGGTCATAAGTGTGAAAAATGGTCCTGTCACTTTTTTCAGTCCCATTGTAACTTTGAACAGTCACTGCTGTAAGTTGAAGACTACCTGTACTCACAGTCTCCCAGTTTCTAGTCTGGTGCCTTAACCATTGTACCAAACTGACCGAGATGTGCCCACTTATGTTCTGGGGATGGGGAGGCATTGCCATCCAGAAAGTTAGATGTTATTTCTGATTTTAAAAAATCACTTTTTATTTATCCCGTGGACACAGCTAGTACTGCTTCCTCTTCCTATTTCCCCCCACCCTCCCACCAAAGAACACTGTGGCATGATTTGGGCTGAAAAGAGATTGGCCCAAAGTCTCCCAACCAGCATTCATGCTTAAGATGGAACTAGATCTCAGAATCTCTCAGTTTCTAGCTTGGTGCCTTAACCATAGTACCAAATTGACTGAGATGTGCCCACTTTTGTCCTGAGTTTGGCATCATTCTAAGCTGAGGGTGGGAAGCTATTGCCATCCAAAGATTCTGCTCTGTAGATAGATGGAGACTTTTCATTGAAGTTGGTGAGCTGGTGGATATGTTGCTGTCCCAGCATTATACGGTGTCCAAAGCCCTTTGGAATTCCTGGCTCCATGGAATTGTCCCGGGTCGCCAAGTGGCTCACACCCACTGGTGCTCAAAGATTAGATCAGGCATTTGTCTTAGTTTTGTTGGGATGCCATCCAATTCTGATAGATGAGAATTAGTGGGAGCCCACTTGGAAATCTGTCTTTGGAGAAACCATGGTTTGGAATCTTCATGTTTGCAACAAAACAGCCAGAATATATTGATGATTCTTTTGCTAAATTTCAGAAGAAAAGGTTTGATAATTCTCCTAGTTTGCTACATTTTACATTTTCTCTTTCAAGGCTATAATGAGCATGGGAATAAGAATTGTAAGGAACAATGTCAACCAGTCGATCCAAACGAGCAAAACAGGAATTTTGCAGATCAGATGCAAACAAAGATTGATGAAACAAACCAATCCCAAAGTGAAGTTGAAAAAACCTTTCATTCCACCCATCATCTTCTTAGCCATACAATCATCAATACGAGAGAAATACCATATCAATGCATGGATTATGAAAAGAGCTTTAATAAACACGAGCATTTCATTCCCCATAAAGAGACACATTCAGAAGACAAACAATATACCTGCATGGAATTTGGAAAGACCTTCTGTTATTATGACTCTTTTACACTCCATCAAAGGAATCTCATAGGAGAAAAACCTTATAAATGCATGGAGTGTGGAAAGGCCTTTAGTTGTAGCAGTAGTCTTAATGTGCACAAGAGGATCCACACAGGAGAGAAACCATATCAATGTCTTGAATGTGGAAAGAGTTTTAAGTGGAATTGTCATCTTACATCCCATAAAAGGATCCACACAGGAGAGAAGCCATATAAATGTATGGAATGTGGAAAAGACTTTAGGAAGAACTGTGATCTTACATCCCATAAAAGGATCCACACAGGAGAGAAGCCTTATCAATGCATGGAGTGTGGAAAGGCCTTTAGGTGTAGCAGTAGTCTTTATTCCCACAAGAAGATCCACGCAGGAGAGAAACCATATCAATGTCTTGAATGTGGAAAGAGTTTTAGGTGGAATTGTCGTCTTACGTCCCATAAAATGATCCATACAAGGGAAAAAACCTTATGAACACATAGAGTGTGGAAAGAGCTTTTCAAGAAGTTCTTACTTGCCATAGAAAGATCCACGAATAGGAGAAGCCATAACAATACAGGTGATGAAAATAACTGAATTTAGATATACTAATGTGAGATGGTGACTAGAGATACCAATAGAAATGAGAAAATAGTTTTCAGTCTAAAACCAGTCGTGTCACTGGCTCCTCCCAATAAACATGAACACACATATATTTTATGTAAGAAAGTTCAGATGAAGTGCTCTGAAAAGAAGCCACAACTGTGGGATGTCCTATAAACACATATGCAGAAGTTTTTCTCCAGTGAAAGTGCCAAATTCCTTTTTTCCTGTGGAGTGACAAAGTCTCAAACAAAAGCTAAATTTGTGGTATATTTTTGGTACATGTACCTGTAGCCTTAGATTAAATTAAAGAAATACAGTTGGTGTGATTATTTAACAGATGGTCAAAGGAAAAGGGGAATTCAAAGTATTCTGGCATCAAAAGCTGTCCAGCATCAACTGAGGAAAGTGACTTTTGAAAACTGCAGAGCCTGAAATAAAGTTAGGACGATCACTGCAGGAATTGTTGGTAGAGAGCTGCCACATGGGATGTGCTGCAATTCACTAAGGGAATTACTACTACTTTGAGTTTGGGAATCTCACTCCAGCTTGAAAACATTTACTCCAAAGAGAGCTTAGCAATATGCTGTCAGATCTCTGAGGTAGCCAGACAGGAATCACGGCCAGACAGGCTAACTCTATTGTAAGGCTCTATTGTACTACTACTATTCATACTGTGTTGTAAGGCTGTATGAATAGAATTGTGCAAGTCTGAAAGTACAAATCTGCCATTGCTTAAAGTTGCTTCTAACTGAGATGGAGCTCATATGCATTGAATAAATAAATAATAAATAACAGTCTGATACATCAATAGACATTGTTTTTAAGATTATTTCCTTTCCAGTTATGCAGCTGCATACTCCTCCACCTTTTAATTGATATTTCCCTGAGTAGCATCCTTTTCCCTTTTCCCTCAAAGTGATTCCCACAAACCTTTACAAGTTGCTAGTGCTGTGGAAATATCTGTACCTTTACTAGCTGTGTCTAAAGGCAGTAACTTTCAAGGAAGGTTCTTTAGAGGAAAATGACTATGTAGCCAAGCATTCAAGAAGAAGCTAGATGAGTCATAGACAGATTTTATAGGACTACATGACATACAGAATACCTATGGGAGAATATTTGTAGCTCAGGGTTGAGATGAAGGGTCTCTGGTGCTCTCTGAGCTTGGTTGTTATATGTTGCAGTCATTACACTGTACATTGTAGATGATTCTTGTTTCTTGGGGGCATCTCAGAAACCACAACAGACAGGAATGGTACCTTAATTTGTTCCATGAGATGCCACAAGTACTTAAAAGGACGATTCCCAAACAAATCACATGACATAACCATGCGACCCTTTCTTTCAGACAGAAGAACTTTTTCTGTCCCTTTGCCTATGTCAGTGACCTTCCCAGCAAGGCCACCTTTCTGTCCACCTTCTCTGGCCATGCCCCCTTGGGTCCAGAGAAAAGAAAAAGAATACACATAGTCCTCTATTTTAGGACCAGAAATGAGCACAAAATTTTTGTTGCTAGACAAGAAAGTTGTTAAGTGAATTTTGCCCCATTTTACGATTTTTATTGCCACAGTTAAGTGGATCACTAGTTGTTAAATTAGTAAGATGGTTGTTCAGAGAATCTGGCTTCTTCATTGATCTTATTTGTTAGAACATCGCAAAAGGTTATCACATGACCCCCAGGACACTGTAACTGTCATAAAGATGAGTCAGTTGCCAAGCACCTGAATTTTGATCACGGGACCATTTGGATGCTGCGGTGGTCATAAGTGTGAAAAATGGTCATGAATCATCTTTTTCAGTGGCATTGTGATTTTTAATGGTCACTGAATTATTGTCTATTGAGGACTTATCTGTAACTTGTTGGCTTGATATTTGATGTGTCAGGAAAACCCTCACGATAACTGCTGGCCTTGTTGGACCCTAGGAGTATTCTGTTTCCTGGAAAGCGGGCAGCCTCATGTCATAGCAGGGAGCACCGAGGAAGCCAACCATGGATTATATAAGGAGAGGAAAGCAAGGAATAGCTGGTTCAGTGAGGGGGGCTGTTTCAGGACCCTGGAGAGCTCCCAAGCACAAGTTCCTTTGAGTTGCATTAATCTTGCCTGAAAGGGACAACACTCCAGATCGATTGGGTGTCTTCATCCTCTTTGCATTCTGAAAGGGAAAGCTCATGCTGCAGGTAAAACCAATATTTATTTAGAAAAAGCATTGTCAAAAATCAGAGCCCTGAGAGGAAGAGCCTGAGGCATCCCACCCCTTTCATCCTGGAATCATCAAGCAGGCCATCCCTGGGTGAGCTTACACCACCACCCTTCTAGTCGACAATCAGACATGCTAACCCCTTGTGCCACAGAGAGGCAACACAGGCCTCCCCCTAAGCTCTCTCAGCTTGAACATCCATATCTGGGGCAGGCTAGACAGCAATAAGATACACTAGTCAGAAGACCCAGGGTGTTCCTCTCTCCCACTACCAGAGGTGAAAATAAATCTTGAACATAAATATTTCTTAGCTTGAGGTAGATTCTTAACAACCCTGGCAGTGATGTAGGGGCATCCTGAACCAGGGACTCAGGTTTGAATCCTGGCTGGCACATGCCTTTTAACTTTTGCCCTTCTAGGATGGGCAGGCAACATGACCAGACCACGTTTTCATCCCAGGTTTTAATTTTGGTGGAAGAAAAGGAGCTAGACTACCCAAATAAATAAATAAATAAAAAACCAAGAAAAAGCTGTAGCACAGTTATGAACCTTCCAAGTGAGGGAGGCTGATGCCAAGCCATGTGACAAATCTCTGTGGTGGAAGAGATTAGTGCACCTGGGTGTTAATTAGAAGGCTGGGGGTTTGAGCCCAGCCAGGGACGGCCTGTTTCATGACATAATCGAGAAGTGAAAGTGATGGATTGTTATTGTATGGAGTTTTTCAACTGAGGGCTTCAATTCCCACACTGTCAATTCTTTTCCTCGCTGTTAGTTTTATCCTCTGGAATGTACGTTGGAGAGATAAATACACATCAGCTTTCTTGAGGATTTTATGGGCCATAGAACAGCTCTGGAATGGTGCCTTTCTTAGGGAAGGTTAACCTAATTAGGAGCAGCCCACATGGGGTGCTGAATCCTGTCTTCTGGCACATGCAATTTTTGATTGCAGTGCGATTACTATGCAAACCATTGCTATTTTTCTTGAGGCTCTGTGCTAGAACTCAGTATTATTAATGATACTAGTACTCTGCCATAATTTATTCTAGTTGTCCTGTAAGGAGTGGTTTAATTGGTTTTTAAAGATTATTTCTTTGGGTGAATTAATTTCCCACTGCCAGTAAGTGAATGTGTTTATGATGGCTGATGCCACAGTGTCAGTCATTTTCTGGAGGTCACACTGTCTGACTTATTTATTTATAACAATTATTGGCTGGCCAACGTACCACAGGGTAACTCTGGGAAGCTTACAATCATAAAAGTAAATATTGGAGAGGGTGGGGTCAGGATGTGGCAAGGGTGGGATCAATCAACCACCTCCACTGTGTTGCTCCCCCATTGGGGCTCCAATTCAATTGGCAGATCCAAATCTTTAGGCCCTTGTGAGAGGTCGGGTGGGTTGGGGCTAATGTCACATGGTGGGGGGAGTTCCAGAGGTCAGGAACAACATCAAAGTAGGGTCTCCTGGACCCCACCAGCCAGAATTATGGCCCGATGGGTCATGAATCATGCCTCTCTTGCCAGCTTGTGTGGGACAGGTTTTGACTTCCCCTCAAGACCACAAATGTAATCAGTCATCAAAGAAGATCTGGGATCCATTATGCTGTGACACATTTCCAACAGATGGAAGTTGTAGAGATTTTAATGCAGCTGTCAGTAAGATTTTAACTGTTGGAAAGTTTCAAAAAAAATCTCTAAGAAATGCGTCCCTGGAGGGTGTTTGTTCCCTCATTTACAGACAAAGGAGAGAGAAGGACATGGCAAACCGTGACTTGTATGCATATTCTAAATATGGACCTTCTCACAACACTGCAGCTTGAGGAGAAAATGCCTTAGAGGCAACCTTTTGAAAACTGGCCAACCCATCCCTCTGAACCCAGCAATAGTTCAGCTTTTCAGGAGGATGTAGAAATTTCATGTAAATGAGAGGATGTGGCTTTTTCAAAGGAGAACACCGGGGACTGATCGCCTTCTGGGCTACCATGCTTATCCAACTCTCCTTTGTGATATCTCAGGTTGGCCCCATTCCACTGTTGGTGGCCACTATTTTAGATCATTTATATATCCTAGCAGAGTTAATCTTATCGGGTTAAAAAGCACATTGTATTTTGCCTTCCAAAATCTTGCAGTGGGGTTCATTTGGTCAAAATCTCTCAAAAGCTAGGATTGAACCAACATGAGTGTAAGTGAAGTTGGCTCCCTTGTCCTTCAGTCTACCAGCCGAGCTCTGGAAGGGCACAAAGTATGAGGAATAACATCTCATTAACTCTTGTGAGGCTGCAGTTGCCAGACTGAGACGGCCGGCAAGCGATAAAGCCATGCTGACCGAGAGCTGCCCACACCTGTTGTTTCTATGGTGTAGTGGTTATCCCATTTGCCTCACACACAAAAGGTTCAAAACCAGGCAGAAAACATGTAGTTTTCTCAGTATTGGAGCCACTCCTTGCTCAAAGAAAAGGTAGGAAAAGTCTGCATCATTAAGACAAGCATTCTATTTTCTATTTGATTGGAGAGGGAATGAATGAGGAGAGGCTGATTTCAAGCCACCAGTCAAGGAAGGCTGGTCAACCCAAGTGAGCAGAGTGAAAGATTAAAGCCTGTCTGAGTTTCAACTCCCAGAATTCTGACCCTGAGGGAGGAGGGAGGGTTTCCCACCCGGAGGGTTTCCCACCCATAGTCTGTCAGAATCAGTTTAAAGCACTGGAGGAGGTGGGAGGAGGAGATCTCTGGAACAACTTGCCTTCAGAGGTTGTGAATGCTCCAACACTGGAAGTTTTAAAAAAGATGTTGGATAAACATTTGTCTGAAGTGGTTTAGGTTTCCTGCCAAGGCAGGGGGTTGGACTAGAAGACCTCAAAGATCCCTTCCAACTCTGTTATTCTATTCCTATTCCTATTCCTATTCCTATTCCTATTCCTATTCTATTCTATTCTATTCTATTCTATTCTATTCTATTCTATTCTATTCTATTCTATTCTATTCTATTCCTATCCTATTCCTGAGGTGCATCCGGAACAACTAAGGATTTTGCTAATTTCTGAGAGTGATCTTCAGGAAAATTAGCTTCAACAAAGATATCCAGAATGTTCGCAAATCACACACAGTTCCCAGACATTAAGAAGAGGAAGTTCTAAAAGTGCATAGATGACGGCCACCTATTTGGAAAGGCAAAAGTTGCAGAGAGACGCTTTCCTTCCAATCCCATGCCAATCATCCCTGCCCCCCGTGGAACTTGCTCTGGTCTTCTGCGCCTTGGCAGGATCCCCTGACATATCACTCGTCAGCACTTGGAAGGAAAGCGTCTCTCTGCAGCCCCTTTCCGGAGGGAACTGAGCATGCGCCTAGAGGGTTTTTTTTTGGGTTGGTTTTTTTTTTTTTTTTTTTTTTTTTTGCGAACTCAAAAAAAACTTTCCGGAAAAGGTTGGGGCAGTTCTGCTTTTTCTACGGCATCCCATTCTACTCCCCTCGCTTCGGTTGAGCCAGGAGGCTGAGAGGCTGTAAGGAATTCTCTCACCGGTGGAGATCC